GGGCCTCTCACTGCTGTGGCCTCTCCCGCTGCGGAGCACAGGCTTGGACGCGCAGGTTCAGCGGCCATGGCTCATGGGCCCAGCCGCTCCGCGGCATGTGGGATCCTCCCGGACCGGGGCACGAACCCATGTCCCCTGCATTGGCAGGTGGACTCTCAACCACTGCGCCACCAGGGAAGCCCTACTTTACTATTCTTGCCTCATCTTTGTATCTTCTTCCCTCTTCTCCTTGAAAGACATACAGATAAAATATTTTGAAGTGGATCCCAGGAATCATATAAAGTCTTTAAGCTGTCTTTTTGATCAGCCTTTCAGGGGAGAAATGGCAGGCAAATATCCTGAAAACTACTCATTATGAATTTCGTATCTTTTCAACCTTCATTAAGGATATTCAGGCTCCTTTTTGAGTTAGGCTCTTAGCTCTTTTTGTCCTTTGCTTAGAATTTAAATCAAGAGAATCTTTCTGTTCTCAAATGCCCAACTAACCCATGAGTTTACAGTTCTGTTTCTTCAGATAAAACAGGTATTTTGTCACATCTATGTAGCTAATACATGAGTATGAAAATATAAGTGTGTATTGAAATGTATAGGTATATGCTGTACTTGTTTGACTAAGTCTTTTGGGTAAACAGCTTTATAGGAAATAAAATGTTGAACAATAAAATGTATATCTTATTTTGTATTAGGAGTTGGAACGAAAATTGACCCCACTTTGTGCCGAGCTGACAGAATGGTGGGGCAGGTACTTGGTGCAGTTGGAGCTTTACCTGAGATCTTCACAGAACTGGAAATTTCCTATTTCCTGCTTAGACGGCTTCTAGGTGTACGCACTGAAGGAGACAAGAAAGCAGCAAAAGTAAGTGCTTTCTGTAATTCCTGTTCCAAAAAAAGTGACAGTGAAGTTAAGACCAGTTTTGAGGTTCATTTCTTTTCATTTAACATGGGATTAAGAAAAAGGAAGAGGTAGATAAATTTGACTTCCTGAAAATTGAGAACTTCTGTATGGCAGTCAGTTCAAAGTAAAACAAAACAGGAAACAGCATGTCATGTATGACAGTGACATGATAATTCCTATTATCCATGTGATTTTTTTAAAAAGTCTTGCTGAGATCAGGTTGGCAGAGATGGAAAATTGCTGACATCTTTTGTTGGCAAGGTGGTAGGAAAATAAGCAGTTATTTGGAAAGCATTTTCTTGATTTTGGGGTTTATTTTTCCCCCCTTGATTTCCCTAGGTGCAAAAGCTGTCTAAGAATGAAGTGCTTATGGTGAACATAGGATCCCTGTCGACAGGAGGAAGAGTTAGTGCAGTCAAGGCTGATTTGGGCAAAATTGTTTTGACTAATCCTGTGTGCACAGAAGTAGGAGAAAAAATTGCACTTAGCCGAAGAGTTGAGAAACACTGGCGGTAAGTTTATTAGCCTTTGTCAGTGTCTAATAAAAAAGACAGAATCAGTTTTCTTAACACATGCACAAACACACTTTACCTTGAACGCAACAGTTACTATACTGTGGTTTCAAGTCTCAACTGTTTATTCAGTTGACTTAGAAATCTGTATTTCTAGGCCTGATTTGTGATAGACACAACCTATGTGAAAACCAGTGAACTTAGGTTTAATATCTCCCTTATCTTTTTCTGAACCATTTGAGGAATAGGTTGCCCCTTGATGTCTTAATACTTCGGTGAATGTTTCCTAAAAACAAGGATATTCTCTTATATAACCACTTAACAAGTTTAACATTGTTAAAATACTGAAATCTACAGTCTTTTCCAGTTTTATCACTTCTTCCAGTAATGTCCTCTGTGTCCCCCGTCTGGGATCACGCATTGCATTTAGTTTTCATGTCTCTTGATCTCTAATCTGGAACTTCCTCAGCCTTTCTTTGTCTTGTCATTGGCAATTTTGAAGAATACAAGCTAGTTCCTTTCTAGACTGCTGCTCAGTTTGGGTTTACTTGGTATTTCCTAAGATTAGGTTTAGGTTACGTATTCTTGGTTGGAATACTTTCGTGTAGGTGGTGATTCTCTCCTTAGGGAGTCGCAGCCAGAGACACGTGATATCTGATTCCTCCTTGTTGAGGTTAATTTTGATCATGCAGTTAAGGTGTTAGCCAGTTTCTCCACTATATGGTTACTCTTTTTTACCCTTGCAAATAAGCGTTCTGTGGGGCGACTCTATGCAAATAGCCTGCTCCTCATCAAATCCCACCCCGCTGGATTTAGCATCCACTGATGATTTTTGTCTGAACTGAGCTTGATTATAGTGTTTACAAAATGGTGATCCCCATCCCCCAGCTCCACCACTCCTCATTTATCATTTGTCATTCTTTCTGCCCCGTTATTTACTTATCTAGTTATAATACGCACTCATGGCATCCTATTTTATTCAGTAGGTTATGATTCATTACTGTTCTTATTTATTTATTTATTTTGAATTTTTGAATTTTATTTATTTTTTATACAGCAGGTTCTTATTAGTTGTTCATTTTATACATATTAGTGTATATATGTCAATCCCAATCTCCCAATTCATCCCACCACCACCTCCCCACCCCGCCAAGTTTGTTCTGTCCATCTCTGTCTCTATTTCTGCCTTGCAAACTGGTTCATCTGTACCATTTTTCTAGGTTCCACGAATATGCGTTAGTACACGTATTTGTTTTTCTCTTTCTGACTTACTTCACTCTGTATGACAGTCTCTAGATCCATCCGTGTCTCTACAAATGACCCAATTTCGTTCCTTTTTATGGCTGAGTAATATTCCATTGTATATATGTACCACATCTTTATCCATTTGTCTGTCAGTGGGCACTTAGGTTGCTTCCATGTCCTGGCTATTGTAAACAGTGATGCAATGAACATTGTGGTACATGACTCTTTGAACTATGGTTTTCTCAGGTATATGCCCAGTAGTGGGATTGCTGGGTCGTATGGTAGTTCTATTTTTAGTTTTTTAAGGAACCTCCATACTGTTCTACCTGTAGTGGCTGTATCAATTTACATTCCCACCAATAGTGCAAGAGTGTTCCCTTTTCTCCACATCCTCTCCAGCATTTGTTGTTCGTAGATTTTCTGATGATGCCCATTCTGACTGGTGTGAGGTGATAACCTGTTTTTATTTATTTTGATACCCAAATTGTCGAGGATTTGTCCAGTAGAGACCCTTTAGGTGACTCCTATGTCCTTTTGACATTTCTCCTCTTTTTTTTTTAACCTAGTATTTTATTAAGGAATCCATTTCTATGACTGTCATGAAACCCAGGCTTGGTTAGCAGTGATGCATTCTGCAGGTAACTGCATCCCACTCTGGACTTTCTGGTAATAGCCACTGTCTTCTCTACCTCAACTGAAAACCCAGAATCAGTCCCTGCCCTCCTACCTTGGGAAGATGCCAAAGCCAACTACATAAGAGGCTTTTTCAGAGAAGATGACTTTTCTTAGAAGACAAACCCTCTGCTTTGTTTTACGAAGCAGATAGCAACCCCATGGACAGGTTGGGACTTGCGCAAGCCTCAATATTTCCCCATTGGGTTTGTTTTTGTTTTTTTGACAGTTCCTTACTTTGTGGCACAAGATGTTCTGGAATCATCTTGTACCTCTCCCCTGCTCCAGTTTAGAATTGGTCATTTCTCCTGAGGGAGCCCTGGTTCCTCTTAGTGGAAAATGGTATTAGAAATGCAGATACGGGTGCTAGGTGTGCTTGCTGCTCCTAAGGTGCTGTTGCTTCGGGACGCTTCGAGTGGATAGAGCTAGGAAACATGCACATATTGTTGACTCCTGTCTCTTTTCTCTTTTCCTGGTTAGTTACTGAATCTACTGTTTCCTTTCTATTCTGTGTGACCTCATTATAGCCCATACCACCATCATTTCACACATAAAAGTTATTGCAAAAAATTCCGAATTTGCCTCTCCGCTGTTACTTAAGTACTCAGTCAAAATTAATCTCCGTAAAACATTTTTTCATGCTGTACTCAGTAATTTTTAGTAGCTTCCCGCTACTTTCTGATATTCAGGACCTTTCTGGAAGCCTGCTTGAATGAATTTTAAGTTTCTCCTGCTTTGTCTCGTATAAACCCTCTAAATTAGACTGTTCTGTGTCCTGATTGTCCCCATAATTACTCAAATCACCCTTGGCTTTGTTTTTTTCTCATTACCTACCTCCCTTATTAAGGCTTCCCTGGTACAGTGCCTCAGGATGGTCTCTCACCATTTACTGTTCAGAAGATATGAATTATTACTCTCTAATTTAAACAGAGTTAAACTTTTTGTTCTCTTTTAAGTAAATCATTTCTGCTTTGTGGTGATTTATGCCTGCTTGATTTTACTCTCTTGTGTGATTATACTATTTGCTGTTATAGACATACTGATTTACAGTGTATTTTAAAAGAAAGGAATGATCTTTTTGTGTCTGTGTACTGTTTTTTTTTATATTTATTTATTTATTTGGCTGCGCCAGGTCTTAGTTGTGGCACACAGGATCTTCGTTGCTGCGTGCGGGAGCTTTAGCTGTGGCACGTGAACTCTTAGTTGCAGCATGTGGGATCTAGTTCCCTGACCAGGGATCGCACCCAGTCCCCCTGCATTGGGAGCACAGAGTCTTAGCCACTGGACCACCAGTGAGGTCCCTGTCTACTAATATTGTAAGAGGATTCTACCCAAATGAAATTTTATATGTTGCTTAAAAATTAGCAAGTATGTTAAAAGAAATGGAAGCATCTGAATGATCCTTACATTCTTTAGATTTGTTGTTTTTAACCCATGCTTAGGTAAGTTCTGTTCTAGAAGCTACAGTTGAGGTAGCAGTCTGGCCTGACCAGTGACTAGAGCAGACATTGAAAGAGAGAAGGAGCAGAAATCCCTCTGCTCTTGAGAGTAATCTGTTTATAGATTATCTAGTCCTCTAGGTCTTCTCTTAATTTCCTTTACCAGCTAAAGTCATGATAAAGCAAGCCATGGTGATCTGTTGAAGTGCTGTGAATGGTTAAAAAACAAAACAGAACAAAACATAAAAACATTTTTCAAAGAGGAAAAGAGAATGAAATTAAAAAAAAAAAAATCAGACTGAGGTGGTTTGTGTATGAGCATGGTTCCTTGGGCGGACTGGAAGTTGCTTCATCAGTGGTTCTGAGGGGCAGGTATATTTTGATAAGAGTGAAGATGAGCATATTTATACTAGCACCTTTTTGTTTGCTTTTCCTATCATTCCTTCTGGCTAGAGCCCATCTCTCTGGGTCTAAGAAGATAATGTGAGCTTTCTTTCTGGAGGAGCATGTTTTGTAAACAAATTTAGACTTAGCAGATAGGCAAGTAAAACTAGTTATGTCATGTGATTATGTGGTAATGATAATGAAATGGATATAAAATTCATGATTTCTTTTATTTTCATTTTGCAGTTTAATTGGTTGGGGTCAAATAAGAAGAGGAGTGACAATCAAGCCAACAGTAGATGATGACTGAAGAATTAAATAACAGATTTGGATGAAGTCGGAATTTCTCTTAACAACCTAGGGGTATATTTTCAAAGCAATAGTGAGGAATTAATTTCACAGCTCATTACCTTAGGAGTAGCTGTAAGGTTATTCTCATTTTTTGGTGATGAAAATTTAACCTCTAGTACTAAAATAGGGTCTACAATAAATGTAAAAATTGGCATAATGTTGGATTGAATCTACATTTTACCAGAAATTAACCATTCCCAAATAACATCTAATTTATACATCAGTGCAGGTTTGAAAGGAAACTGCTACAACCAGCCTTTGCTGTAGCACACATACCACTGAATCTGTTTGAAATAAAATTCTTCTTCTTATTTTTCATGATTCGTCTTTGAGTAGCTCCAGGCTTGAAGGATTATTGTTATCAGTAAAAACTTGAAGACAAATTCTTGAAGACCAACTTCCCTTTACCTCATATTTTATGTTGCTTTTATCTTTTTGAGTGACAAATTAATAGGTTCAAATAAAATTGTCCTTTCAGGCATGAGGGCTTGTTCCCATGGACATTCCTTTCTCTCCCCTTTTTCTGGACTAGAACACAGGAAGCTAGAGCCCGAAGTTCTCATCCTCTCCCCGTGATGCCCTGCGATTGTTTCTGCATTGCTTTATGCCCGAAGCCCTACAGCATTCCCCCATTGGAAAGTACTGTTAACACCAGATGATTTTAGTTAAGTAACAAAGATCTTTTCCAGTCCTTATTTTATGTTTTTTCTTAACTGCTTAATTGATAAGGTTATGATGTAGATTCAAATATTAGTAATCTTTGGAACTTTCGGGAGGCAAAAAATGTTCTACAGCAAAAGGGTGAGCCCTTTCGCTTTTAACTTATTCTCCGTGTTCCTGCACTTTTCCTGTGTTATGCATTTTAATTTTTGTTTATTTTTGTTTCATAAAATTCTGTTAAAGCAGTGGTTCTTAACTCTGGCTGACATTAGAATTGTTGGGGAAGCTTAAAAAACGATAGATGCTCCACAGAGATTCTGATTTTAATTGGCTTTGGGTGGAGCCCAGGCATTAATTTTTAAAGCTCCCCTGTGTTGAGTAACAAATTTAGAGAGTTGAGAAGTAGGAGCATCAAATAGCAGAATCTTACTAAGGTTTGGTAGTCTGATAATACTCTTGTTTGCTTTTCTTAAATTTTCATTTAATGTGGGACTTGATGCCACAGTTGCAACCTTGTGCTCTTCTGGGCCTTGGACATGCTGCCTTGTAGACGTTTAAAAGCTGTGGCTCTGGTTGTTACGTAAGTTTATAAGTTTTGGGGAAACATATTAATGTTACGTACTTCCTTGACTTTGAAGGGTTGTGTTACAGCATGGAGAACACACTTAAATGAAACAAGGTTTTAATCCAAACATTAATTTTATGTCTAACATGTCCCCATGTGTTTTGTAAGCACCTTCTACCAGAAATTCTGGAGTAACATAAGACCCAAGTTCACTAATTTATTGTAATTGATCTCACGTCAGAACTGAAACCAGAAGTCTTTTCTATTTCAAACATCCACATGAATTTCAACAAATTTGCAAAGCACTGTGCTTAGTGTAAATGGGAATATGCAAATATGAAAACAGTGGGCCTTGTGTTCATAGAACAGTGATTCTCAGCAAAAGTTGTACCTGGTTGAGAATCTGCCTGTAATGCGAGGTTATTGATGAAAGTACACTATATATGTAAATCCTGTTGGCTCTTCTGTCAAGGTATTTTCAGAATCTGACCAGTTCTCACCATCTGCACTGCTACTGTCCTAGTCCAAGCCACCAGTGGCTCTCACCTTGAATAGCCCTGTAACAACTCCTCACTTCCACACTTGCTCCACTGCAGTCTGTTCTCAACACAGCCAGAGTTAACCTTTTTGTAAGAGAGAATGCTATGCACCACTCTGATAAATTATAAAGTTCATCTCACAGGAATGGGGGGCATCAGGACAGTAGCTTTGACATCTTCCAAATGATTTCCAGGCTGACCTAGAAAGCTCACTCTACTATTTCACTCTTTGTATGTAACCTCCAAAGATGATGATGATGATGTGTGTGTATGTTTTTGGTTTTTGCAGAGCAAAAAAGAATTTTTCTTTTAATAAGAGTGTGCAAATAGCTGCACTCCCATAAAACTTCTGAAATTCTATTTCTAGAAAAATTTAATATGGTGAAAGGAAACGAATGCTTCTCTGGAAATACATAAAAATTTTTTAAATTACCAGAGATGAAGCAGATACCCTTAAAATATTGATAATCAAGAAACTGAGGTTATTAAAAAATTTCCTCTGCAGAAGTTTCCACAAACTCACAATACAAGGAATGGGTAATTCCTGTTGTTTAATTTGTACCAGAATGTAGGACAAAAAAAGGAAGCAAAAAAGGAGACATTCTAATTCATTGTTCAAAATTATTATATCCTTGCTGCCCAAACGTGGAGAGAACACTACCAAAAACAAAGCAAAAGCAAACCACTAGAGACCATTCTCACACAGTTATAAAATCCATACTAAAATACTAGTAACTTAAGTCCAACATTCTATTGAAAGAGTAATGCATTCTTGTATGTACCTGGAGCTTTTAGAGGTGGAAAGGAAAAAGCATACCTTGAAGATGTATTTGATACAATTCAAAATTTTTTAAAAGTAGGTAATGTAGAGAAGGACCCTATTAACTTGATATAAGGTACTTAGAGAACTATCGGAATCATTTTTAATGATGAAACATTGGAGCACAGTAACATCCTTCCGTAATGCTGTAGGTGGGATAAAGTTTCAACTGGGTAAAATGTGGGGTGGTGAGGTTAATGAAATAACAAGGGTAAATTCAGAGGGTTGGGAAGTAGTCGTCAATTGCATTGCACCAGAATTCATATGATTGTTTGGCTTCTCTATATTCTCATTAGTGTCTGGAACAAGTCAAGAATATCAGCCACCGCTTGAATTCTACAATATTGTTCTCTGGGGCTTAGCAAATGAGATAGAAATGGAAGCGACAGAACGTTACTTACAAGGTATAATAAGATTGTCTGCCTAGAAAATACAACCCAGAAACTGAAAAACTTGAACTGCTGTGAGAGTTCAGTGAGGTGACAGTTCAAAATAAACATGCAAAAATTATTAGTTTACTAAATAATTTACTAATTAGTTTATACCACACACATGTACACACAGACACACAAATCAGAAAATGCCATGGGTATAAACTTACCGGGTATAAATTTAACAAGATTATGCAAACTATACATGAATAAAACTAATTTGTTGAAGGACGAGAGGAGCATATGAGTAATGAGAAAATAGGCAATACTCTTAGATGAGAATACTCAATATTGTACAGATGACTCCTTTTTTTCCACCTATAAATTCAGTGTATTTTTTTATAGTTTATTATTTTTTAAATTAATTTTTATTTTTGGCTGTGTTGGGTCTTCCGTGCTGTGCACAGGCTTTCTCTAGTTGTGGCGAGCGGGGGCTACTCTTGTGGTGTGCGGGCTTCTAATTGTGATGGCTTCTCTTGTCGTGGAGCACGGGCTCTAGGCGCGCGGGCTCAGTAGTTGTGGCATGCAGGCTCTAGAGCACAGGCTCAGTAGTTGTGGTGCATGGGCTTAGTTGCGTGGCATGTGGGATCTTCACAGACCAGGGCTCGAACCCGTGTCCCCTGCATTGGCAGGCGGATTCTTAACCACTGCACCACCAGGGAAGCCCAATTCAGTGCATTCTGAATAAAAATTTCAATAAGGTTTTTTAAAGAACTTGTCCAGTTGATATTAAAGATTTGGAAAAGTAAGATTCACGAGAATCGTAAATAAACCGGAATTCCCTGGCGGTCCATTAGTTAGGACTCTGCATTCTCACTGCCGAGGCCCCGGGTTCAATCCCTTGTTGGGGAACTAAGATCCCACAAGCCACGCAGCACAGGTAAATAAATAAGTGAATGAATAAAAATGTAAGCGTTCTTGACGGGGTTTGGGGGGAATAGTAAATAAACGTTTAAAAGAATATGACGGGAGAGTTGACATGTTTTAGAACATATGATAAAGCCACAATATAAGAAGTGTGGTATTGATGCAGAAGTAGATCAATCATTGGAACAAACTTTACAACCAGATATAAAATTTTAATAATACATGCTATAGGCAGCATTTTATGTCAGTGAGAAAAAGAATAGACTTTTTTAGTCAAAATCGTGAGCCATTTGGGGATAAAAGATCTTTTATTTAAAACCTTATTTAAGATATTTTATTGAGACAAAATTATGAACAAAGAAATCTTAGGGGATTATTTTAATAGTTTGGATGAGGAAGGCAAAACAAACCCAAAAGCCTAAAGGAAAAGTTGGTAGATCTGATGATACATAAAAAGTTCAAAACTTACAGCCATGGAGATTACAGATTTAAAAGATGATAGGTTGAGAGAAAATAATTAAAACTTACATGAAATGTGAAAGATTAATATTCCTAGTACAAATCAGTAAGATAGAATAGAAATGGGACAAAATACATATTGCATCAGTTTAGATGGGCTAAAGATTAGCAGGAAGAGGACTCATGTAGACTCGTGAGCACACTGAGTGCCACTGATCGGATTTGGGCAAAGATGGAAGTTAGTGGCAGTGAAGTCCCACAGGCAGGAGCAGACATGGCATCTCATCTCCATAGAGTTTTCTTTGTGCCTCAGGCTCCACAACAGGGAAGGGCTGTGCTGCTGCCAGTGACTCTTATAAGGTAGGGTCTTGCCAGAGCAGAGAAAATTAGTTCTGTGCTGAGCCATTGACTTTCATACTCAGGGATCATATCACTGTTCAGGAAGAACTTAGACAAATACTCCTCTTAATTCTTGCATTTAAGGGAATGTTTACAAACATTGAGCAGCAGGGTAATCACACTATTCTGGAGGATAAAGCACCATTATTGAACAATATGTCTGACTTCAGCTCTTTGGCAATAGGGAAAATCCAGCTCGCAAATATGTATAGACTGTTTATAAAAGAAATGCAAGTACCCAATACACATTTATGAAGTGTTCAGCCTGTCTAGTAATAAGAAACATGAACAATGTGATTCACTCATTAAAATTGGCGAAAATTAAAAGGACTTATAGCAGCCAGTGTTGGTGAGGATATATTGTTGGTGAGAAGTATAAACTGGTACATTCTCTAAAGAGGACAATTTGATTACATCTATCGAGATTTAAAATATCTCACCCTTTGACCCAGAATTCCGCATCTGGGAATGTATCATAACGAAATATTTGCTCATGTTCACAAAGACCTATGTAGAAGGATGTTTATTCCAGCATTGTTTAGTATGGCAGCAATTGTAGGACACTGAAATGTTAGTTAAAAGGGGATCATGAAGTAGCTTTTGTGGTACATTTATTCTGTTATGAAATAAAACTCTAAGCCACCTTTGATTCAGCCCTGGTTAAAATGAAAGGTGAAAATATTGGCCCCAAAGGTATTTTATGAAAATCCTGAGAGGGAATAATCTCTTTGACTTAAAGTGCTTTGAGAATTCATAATACAGTATTGGTTGTTGCCCACCTTAGCAAAAAGAATCGAGAGGAGTGTCAAAGGAACACGCTCCTTGTCGGTGTTAGCACTGAATCTGTTAGAATCACAAGTTTATTTTCTCAAACAAGTTTTTTTGGGGAAAACCAAGACCAGCAAGTGAATTCATGCCACTTACATAATAGTGAAATTATACATTAAAGTTTATCACTATCAGGCTGGTATATCCGTTGTAATCTATATTCCTACAATAAATACATTCTATAAAATATAATTTGCTATTACAAGCATACAGTGACTAATATATTTCCTACAACAAACATATAAAAAGACTAAGCAGAAATCATAGTTTTAAGTAGTATACTCCAAAAGAGTTAAAAATCAACCCTTTATAAATGATAGGTATGTCAAGAATATCGCAGTAGGAGCTTCAATTAACCAGGAATGCATTTAATGATGGTAAGATGCAGATTATAGCTCAAACTTAAAGAAAATCTTTATCCCTTTCAAATTCTCATAAGTCTTAGGGACTTTATGGTTTGTAAATCATCTTCAAACTTCTCCAAAGGGTTGTAAAAAATACAACAAAACCCGGGCCTCCCTGGTGGCGCAGTGGTTGAGAGTCCGCCTGCCGATGCAGGGGACACGGGTTCGTGCCCCGGTCCGGGAAGATCTCACATGCCAAGAAGCGGCTGGGCCTGTGAGCCATGGCCGCTGAGCCTGCGCTCCGCAACGGGAGAAGCCACAACAGTGAGAGGCCCGCGTAACACAAAAAATAATAATAATACAACAAAATCCATTAGTCCAGTGGTTTTTATTCTCAAAAGCACTATTCCAACAATCTTTTGTCTCAAAAGTTTCTCATCAACTACTATTATGCCTCATGGACTATTTTTTCAAAAATTGTTTTGGCCTTTTCAAAGGACCAGTTTTTGGCTTTGTTGAGTCTCTTGTGCGTTTTTCTTTTTTTTTTTTGTGGTACGCAGGCCTCTCACTGTTGTGGCCTCTCCTGTCGCGGAGCACAGGCTCCGGACGTACAGGCTCAGCGGCCATGGCTCACGGGCCCAGCCGCTCCGTGGCATGTGGGATCCTCCCGGACCGCGGCATGAACCCGTGTCCCCTGCATCGACAGGTGGACTCTCAACCACTGCGCCACCAGGGAAGCCCTCCTGTGCTTTTTATTTCATTGATTTCTTACCTTTATTATTTCCTTTCTTCTACTTTCTTTGGATTTATTTCACTATTTAATTTACTTTTAGCTTTTCTTCTTTCTAATATAAACACTGAAGGCCAAGCATTTTCCACTTGGGACTTTCATAGCAGAATCAAACAAATCTTTATTTATTTAGGTATAATCTACATTTAATAAAATGCACAAATCTCAAGTGCTCAGTTTGATGAATTTTGATTATTTTATACACCCATGTATCCATCAGCCCAAACAAAATATAAAACATTTCCATCACCTCAGAAAATTCTCTCATGCTCCTACAATACATAGTCTTTTGGCATCTGAATTCTAATTAGGATGTTTTTGAGATTCAGTAGTTTGTTTCTTTTTACTGCTGGATAGTATTACACTATAAAGATAAAACCATGTTTTGTTTATCCATTCACCAGTTGATGTACATTTGGATTATTTCCACTTTTTGGCTGTTAAGAATAAACCTGCTATGAACATTAGCATTCAAGTCTGTGTAGATATATGTTTTCATTTCTCTATTTATTTGTTTTTATTTTTGGCTGTGTTGGGTCTTCATTGCTGTGTGCGGGTTTTCTCTAGTTGCAGTGAGTGGGGGCTACTCTTTGTTGCAGTGCGCGGACTTCTCATTGTCACGGCTTGTTGCAGAGCACAGGCTCTAGGCGCACGGGCTTCAGTAGTTGTGGCACATTGGCTCAGTAGTTGTGGCTCGTGGGCTCTAGAGCACAGGCTCAGTGGTTGTGGCACATGGGCTTAGTTGCTCCGCAGCATGTGGGATCTTCCCGGGCCAGGGCTCGAACCCGTGTCCCCTGCATTGGCAGGTGGATCCTTAACCACTGCGCCACCAGGGAAGCCCTGTTTTCATTTCTCTTGAGTAGATTCCGAGGAATAGAGTGTTAGGTTGTATGGTAAGTCTGTGTTCCACTTTTTAAGAAACTGCTAAACTGTTTTCCAAAGTGGCTGTACCACTTTATATTCCCATCAACAATGTATGGGGGCTTCTGGTTTCTCCACATCTTTTCCAACAGTTGGTATTATCTGTTTTCTATTATAGCAATTTTAGTGGATATGCAGTGGTATCTCAATGTTTTAATTTGCATTTTCCTAATGACAATGTTGAGCATCTTTTCATGTGCTTACTAGCCATTCATATTTCTTTGGTGAAATGTGTATTCAAATCTTTTGCCTACTTTTTGATTGGATTGTTTTATTACGGAGCTGTAAGAGTTCTTTGTATATTCTCCATACAAATCCGGTATCACATATATGATTTGCAGATATTTTCTCCGTTTCTGTGGCTTGTCTTTTGATTTTATCAGTGGTATCTTTTGAAGTGAAGTTTTTGATTTTGATGAAGTCCAATTTATTTCTTTTTTCTTTTATGGATTATGCTTTTGGCATCATATCTAAGAACTCTTTGCCTACCCCAAGCTCACAAAGATTTTTTTTCTCCTATGTTTTCTTCTAGAAGTTTTACAGTTTTAGCTCTTACGTTTAAATCTGATCTGTTTTGAGTTAATATTTTTATGGTATGAGGTAAAGATTTAAGTTCATTTTTTTCTATATGGGTATCCAGTTGTCCCAAGCCATTTGTTGAAAAGACTATCCTTTCTCCAGTGGATTGTCTTGGTACCTTTACTGAAAAGCAGTTGACATAGGTGTAAAGATTGATTTCTTGAATTCTTTTCTATTGATCTGTATGACACACTGTCTTGATTACTGTGACTTTACAGTTAAGTTTTTATATTGGGTAATAGAAATCCTCCAACTTTGTTCTTTTTTTCAAAATGGATTTGACTATTCTAAGTTCTTTGAATTTCCATATAAATTAGCTTGTCAATTTCTCCCAAAAAGCCTGCTGGAATTTTGATAGGGATCACATTAAATTTATAGATCTCGTTTGGAGGGAATTACTATCCTGACAATATTGATTCTTCCATTTCATTAATATTGAATTCTCTCCATTTAAATTTTCTTTAATTTCTCTCAGTAATGTTTTGTTAGTTTTCACTGTACAAGTCATGCACTTCTTTTGTTAAATTTATATTTAGTTATTTTTGATGCTTGTGAATAGAATTATTTTCTTAATTTCAATTTTGGATTGTTTGTTGCTCATATGTAAAATTTTTTTTTTCTTTTGCAATTGATATGATCTTTTTTTTTTTTTTGGCTGCGCCATGCAGCATGCGGGAGGTTTCCCTGACCAGGGATCGAACCCAGGCCTCCACAGTGAAAGCACCAAATCCTAACACTAGGCCACCAGGAAACTCCTGATCTTACTTTTTTTTTTCAGTTTTATTGAGATATAATTGACATGTTTAAGGTGTACAGCATAATAATTTGACTTACATACATCTTGAAGTGATTACCACAATAAATTCATTGAATATCCATCATCTCCTATAGATACAAAATTAAAGAAATAGAAAAAAATATTTTTCCTTGTAATGAGAACTCTTAGGATTTGCTCTCTTAACAACTTTCATATATAATGTACAGTAATATTAATTATATTTATCATGCTTTACATTACATCCCTAGTACTTATTCATCTTATAACTGGAAGTTTCTACCTTTTGACTGCTTTCATCCAATTCCCCCTCCCCACAACACCCACATCTTGTAGCCACAAATCTGATCTCTTTTTTTTTTAAGAGTTTGTTTCTGAAGTATAATTGACCTATAGTGCTATGTTAGTTCTGGTTACACAACATAATTTGATTTGATGTTTCTATGCATTTCAAAATGATCACCACAATAAGTCTAGTTAGGATACATCACTGTATGGAGATGTTACATGGTTATTGACTGTATTCCCCTCATTGTACATTCCATACCTGCGAGTCATTTTTTTTGCAACTGGAAGTTTGTACCTCTTAATCTCCATCACCTATTTGTCTCCTCCACCTACCCCTCTCCCCTCTGGCAACCACATATTTGTGCTCTGTATCTATAACTCTGTTTCTGTTTTATTATGTTTGTTTGTTTTGTTTTTTAGATTCCACATGTAAGGCATACAGTATTTGTCTTTGTCTGACTTATTTTACTTCGTGTAATACCCTCTTCTTTTTTATGGCTGAGTAATATTCCATTTTAAAAATATACCACATTGTCTTTATCCATTATCTATTGATGGGCACTTAGGTCATTTCCGTATCTTGGCTATTGTAAATAATGCTGCAACGAACATAGGGATGCATGTTATCTTTTCTAATTAGTGTTTTCATTTTCCTCAGATAAATACTCAGGAGAAGAATTGCTGGATTGTCTGGTAGTTCATTTTTAGTTTTTTGAGGAATCTCCATACTGTTTTCCATAGTGGCTGTGCCAATTTACATTTGCACCAACAGTGCACAAAGGTTCCCTTTTCTCCACATCCTTGCCACCTCTTGTTATTTGTTGTCTTTTTGATAATAGCCATTCTGACAGTTGTGAGGTGATATCTCATTGTGGGTTTTTGTTTTGTTTTGTTTTGTTTTTTTGCAGTACACGGGCCTCTCACTGCTGTGGCCTCTCCTGCTGCGGAGCACAGGCTCCGGACGCGCAGGCTCAGCGGCCATGGCTCACGGGCCCAGCCGCTCCGCGGCATGTGGGATCTTCCCAGACTGGGGAACAAACCCGTGTCCCCTGCATTGGCAGGCAGACTTTCAACCACTGCGCCACCAGGGAAGCCCCCTCATTGTGGTTTTGATTTGTATTTCCCTGATGTTTCGTGATGTTGAGCATCTTTTCACGTGCCTGTTGGACATCGATGTGTCTTCTTTGGAAAAATGTCTATTCAGCTCCTTGGCCCATTTTTTTAATTGGGTTATTTGATTTTTGATTTTCATATTTTGATCTTATATCCTGTGACCTTGATAAACTCGTTTATCGGTTCTAATCTTTTTTCGGGAATTCCTTGGGATTTTCTACTAATAGGATCATATGATTTGCAAATAAAGACAGTTTTACATCTTCCTTTCCAGTTTGGTTACCTTTAACTTTTTTTCTTCTTCTTTATTATACTGGATAGAATGACCAGATCAATGTTGAATAGAAGTGGCAAAAGCAGACATCTTTGTTTTGTTCCTGATCTTAAGAGAGAAAGCATTCAGTCTATCACCATTAAGTATGATGTTAGCTGTGGGTTTTTTAGGTTGAGGAAGCTCCTTTTGATTTCTTGTTTGTTGATAGTTTTTATCATGGATTGGTGATGGATTTTGTGAAATACTTTTTTCTGCATCTATTGAGATGAATATGTGTTGTCATTTATTCTTTTTAAACACAGTGTATTACATTAATTAATTTTTGGATGTTACATCAACCTTGTATTCCCAGGATAAATCCCATTTGGTCATAGTGTGTGATCCTTTTTATGTTGCTTAATTCACTTCTTTCTTATTTTGTTAAGGATTCTTGGCATTTATGTTGTGAGGGATATTGATTTTTTTTTTTTTTGGCTGCATCAAGGGGCTTGCAGGGTCTTAGTTCCCCAACCAGGGATTGAACCTGCCCCTCAGCAGTGAAAGTGCGGAGTCCTAACCACTGGACCACCAGGGAATTCCTGGGGTACTGATTTTTAGTTTTCTTTTCTTGTGATGGCTTTGTTTGGTCCATACCAGGCAATGATAATGTTAGGCTCATAGAGTTAATTGGTCAGTGTTCTAACCTCCTCTGTTTCCTGAAAGAGTTTGTGAAGGATTGGTAATATTTCTTCTTTAAATATTAGATAGAATATTGATTTGATATCTTTTTTCTCATATAGGCATTTGAAACTATAAATTTCCCTGTAAGCACTGTTTTCTCTGTATACCATCCTTTTTTTAATTATAAATTTATTTATTTTATTTTTGGCTGTGTTGGGTCTTCGTTGCTGCACGCAGGCTTTTCCCTGGTTGCGGTGCGCGAGCTTCTCATTGCGGCGGCGGCTTCTCTTGTTGCAGAGCATGGGCTCTAGGTGCGTGGTCTTCAGTAGTTGTGGCACACAGGCTCAGTAGTTATGGCTCGCAGGCTCTAGAGCGCAGGCTCAGTAATTGTGGCACACGGGCTTAGTTGCTCCGCGGCATGTGGGATCTTCCTGGCCCAGGGCTCGAACCCGTGTCCCTTGCATTGGTAGGTGGATTCTTTACCACTGCGCCACCAGGGAAGCCCCATAGCATCCTGTTTTTAAGGTTAAACTTTTTACTGTGAGATAATTGTGAATTCACATGCTTTTCTAAGAAATCATACAGAGAGATAACCATATACTCTTTATGCAGTGTCCCCTGGTGGTAATATCTTACAAAACTATAATACCATTTCGCAACCAAGATATTGACATTGACATAGACAAGATACTGGGCTTTGCCATCACCAAAGGTCTCTTATGTTGCCCTCTTGCAGCCATACCTGCTTTCCTCCTGCTCTCCCTCCCCCTCAGTCCTTAAGCCCTGGTGACCACTAATATGTTCTCCGTTTTCATAATTTTGTCATTTCAAGTATGTTTATATAAATAGAATCATACCTTTGGGTATGGGCTTCTTTTTTTTTTTTTAACTCTGCATAGTTCTCTGGAGATTCATCTAAGTTGTTGTGTGTATCAGTAGTTCAGTAGGTCAGGCTTCTGGGAAGATGGCGGAAAAGTAAGACATGGAGATCACTTTCCTCCCCACAGATACACCAGAAATACATCTACACGTAGAGCAACTCCTACAGAACACCTAC